CTTCCCCTCGTCATTTTTAAAAACAGTTATTTATTGGGGCTTACAGGTGGTGGTTAAGGTGTTAGACTCCCACATGGCAGACTGAGCTGTTCAAGTTCTGGATGTGGCAGCTTTCTTTCTCACTTTCCCTTTCTCTCTCTCTCTCTCTCTCTGTCTCTTTCTGATCAAATTTAAATAATAATAATATCAAACAGAATTAATTAAGTAAGTGATACCTTTAAAAATAATGATTTAATTTTATTTGTTGTTATTTTAAAATTAGCTGTAATGTATGCTCACTCACCCGAGGGAGACAGAGAGAGAGAGAGAGAGAGAGAGAGAGAGAGAGAGAGAGAGAGAGAGAGAGAGAGAGAGAGAGAGAGAGAGAGAGAAAGAGAGAAAGCAGGCTGCCAGGTCCAGGACTCAAACCATAGTCGGCCATGTGAGAGTCCAGCATGCCAACAACATCCCCACCACTTGCTGGCTCAGGAGGCTGAGATAGAAGGGTAGCAATGTAATGAGGCCTTACCTGAAAAACAAGAACAACACAAAACAAAAGACTTAGGGAACCAGCAGTTAGCGTAATGGCTATGTCGCTGGACTCCCACGTAGTTGACCGTGGTTCAGGTCCTGGACCCGGTGGCTTAAAACTCATGCCGGGCGCGTGTACGTGCGTGCTCAAGATCCCAAGAGGAGAATGGAGGAGAAGGGATTGTGGCGTGGCCATCCCCCCTGGGGGGTGATTTCTCGCTTTCTGTCTGGTGAGTGCACGCACCCTATAGCAAAAAATACTCTCAAACAAACAAACAAACAAACAAAAAAACCAAAAAACTTGGGAGCATACACACACCACCCTGACCACCAAAATTTAAAATATGTGGAGGCCAGCTCTTTGCAAGGTGGTTTAGGCAGCTGAATCCCACATGGCTGACGGCATGGTTCAAGTCCTCGACCTAGTGACTTGAGAAACACACCAGATACATGTACATGCGCCTAAAATCCCAATAGGAGGGAGAAATGGGGGACCAGCAGTTAGCGTAATGGCTGTGTTGCTGGACTCCCATGTAATCAACAGCGGTTCAAGTCCTGGACCCAGTGGTTTAAACTCACATTGGGTGCTTGTGCGTGTATGCCCAAGATCCCAAGAGGAGAATGGAGAAAGGATAGCGGTGAGGCCATCATCCCTGGGGGGTGACTTCTCGCTTTCTATCTCTCTGCCTCTCTCTGTCTTTCTAGTGAGCACATGTGCCCTATAGCAAAAACCTCTGGAAAAAAAAAAAAGGGAGAAATGGAAGAGAAAGGATTGTGGTGCAACCGTCCCCCATGGGGTTGCTTTCTTACTCCTGTCACCCTCCCACAGCGCACATGGTCCTGGCAAAATTTAAAACAAACAAACAAAACATGCAAGCCACACAAAACCTGTTTGCAGGCTGTATTTCACACCAGACTGCAGTTGGGGCCTTGGGCCTCAAAGGAAAAGCATAGACGTCCAGAGAGAGAACCTTGGGGAGCACTGCTGTCTGTAGGGGGAGCAGAGGAAGAGAATGCAAGGGAAGGAGACAGGGAAGGCTTGATGGGAATGTGGAAGATGAGGGGCAGAGATGTCAAGTAAGGAGATTTTTGAGAAGTGAGAGGTTCCTGTGTTAGGACTCAGGAGAGGTGCTCTGAGAGAGAGAGGCCTGGAGGAATGGCTTGACGTGGACTTTCAGCCACTCCCCCCACGAGTGCCCATCCTGCACGCCTTTGTACTTGGGAGTCTGCTGCCTAGCCTCTTCCCTCCCTGCTGTTTGGTGAACTCCTTATCCTGGCTTCAGTGTTACCACCTTTTTTTTTTTTTTCTTTTAAAGAGGTTTTTGCCTTAGGGTATGTATGCTTGCTGGTGAGAAAGAGAGAGACAGTGAGAGGGAAAGTGAGAAATCATCCCCTGGGGGATGGCCTCACCACAACTCCTTCTTCTCCATTCTTCTCCTCGGATCTTGGGCATGCATAGACACTACCCACTTGAGTTTCAAGTCACCCAGTCCAGGACTTGAGCCATGGTCGGCCACGTGGGAGTCCAGCAACGCAACCACTATGTCATCTGCTCGCCCTTTAACCACCTTTTTTAGCATTCTGAGATTACCTATTTGATGCATGATTTACTCTCCTGGCGGGGTTTCCAGACTCCTTGACTCCACGCTGCAGCACTTGCTAGTTCTATTCAAGCACACTTTGTGGTCCTGTGTCTCATCCACGTCTTTTTTCATACTCCTCTCTTGGTCTGCTCCACACCTGGCACATACTATGTAGTCCTAAGGGATGTTTGCTGAAGCACAGGGGTTAAGAGCAGAAACTCAGAGCTAGTCCGTTTGGCTGGGGACCTGGCTTTGCCACTTTCCGTGTAGTTCTGGGCAAGCTCTTGACCTTTCAATGCCTATTTCCTCATCTGTAGAATGTAACCCTCACATCGACCTTCTGTGAAGGATGAAATTAAATTATGCTCAAAGCATGCAGAACAGCACTTGACAGTAAATCTTAACAAAGTGTTAGTCTGATATTATACAAAAATATGGAGGCTGACAGGTGGTGTGGTGGTTAAGGTCACTGGACTCCCACATGGCTGACCATGGTTCGAGTCCCAGACCTGGCAGCTTGCATTCTCACATTCTCTTTCTTTGTCCCTCTCTGGTCAAATTAAAGAAAAATAAGTAAGTAAATAAATAAAGTTAAAAATAATTCTAAACTTTAAAAAAAATTAAATATGTAGGGACCAGCAGATGGCATAATGGCTACATTACTGGACTCCCATGTAGTTGACAGCAGCTTGAGTCCTGGACCTGGTGGTTTAAACTCACGCCGGGTGCATGTACATGCATGACCAAGATCCCAAGAGGATAATGGAGGAGAAGGGATTGCAGTGGCCATCCCACTTGGGGGGTGATTTCTCGCTTTCTGTCTCTCTCTGTCTTTCTGGCGATCACACACACCCTATAGCAAAAACCTCTCCAAAAAATATGCAAATATCATTATTATTATTTTTTAATTATTTTATTTAACTTTATTTGAACAAGCAGGACAGAGTGAGAGAAAGAAGGAAAGTGAGAAAACAAGCTACGAGGTCCAGGACTCGAACCACAGTTGGCCATGTGGGAATACAGTGCCCTTAACTATTACACCACCTGTCAGCCCCAGTATCATTATTATTTTAAATAATTGTTTTATTTAACTTTATTTGAACAAGCAGGACAGAGTGAGAGAAAGAAGGAAAGTGAGAAAACAAGCTACGAGGTCCAGGACTCGAACCACAGTGGAGAGTATGTGTTTTTTTCAAAGGAACTTCTAGAATCTGGGTCAAAGCTTAAGAAAAATCTGCATGACATGCATATCAGAAATAATGTCCTTTGTTTTATTTTGTTCAATAGTTTCAAATTGCCTTCTCCAGACAAGCCTGATTAGACTGCAAGTTGCAAGTTAATTTGAATTTCACTTTTTGTCCCTGTTCTCACAGGAAGTTAATTGTGTTTTTTTCAAAGGAACTTCTAGAATCTGGGTCAAAGCTTAAGAAAAATCTGCATGACATGCATATCAGAAATAATGTCCTTTGTTTTATTTTGTTCAATAGTTTCAAATTGCCTTCTCCAGACAAGCCTGATTAGACTGCAAGTTGCAAGTTAATTTGAATTTCACTTTTTGTCCCTGTTCTCACAGGAAGTTAATAGGCTTCTTTTGTAACCATCAAAAGGAGGTTTTACAGTCATATAGACTTGGACTCAAATCCTAGCCCCTTGGTTGCCCTATAATCATTAATCCTACTTAGTCTCTGAGTCTCAGTTTTCTTATCTACAAAATAGAGATACTTTTACTTTTTTTTTTTTTTTTTTGAGTTTTCTTGGTATGGGGCATGTGTGCTCACCAGAAAGACAGAGAGAGACAGAGACAGAAAATGAGAAATCCCACCCCCCCACCCCACCCCTGGGGGGATGGCTACATTGCAATCCCATCCACTCCATTTTCCTCTCGGGATCTTGGGCAGGCATGCACAGGTGCCCAGTGTGAGTTTAAGCCACCAGATCTGGGACTTGAACCACAGTCGACTACATGGGAGTCCAGCAACGTAGCTATTAAGCCATCTGCTGGTCCCACTTTTACTTTTAAAAACAAATTATTTATTTAATTCTATTTGTTATTATTTTTTAAATTTGACCAGAGAAAGGGAAAGTGAGAAAGCAAGCCGCCAGGTCTGGGACTGGAACCTTGGTCAGCCATGTGGTAATCCAGCGCCTTTAACCACCACACCACCTGTCAGCCCCAGTACCTTTACTTTTTTAGGGTGAGAAATTGCTTATTTCGAAATCACTTAAGCCTTGTACAAGGCTTGTGCTATTCCTGTGATCTTCTCACTGGTTCCTTGCTAGGGCTTCAGAAAAGTAAAAGTAGGTCCTTCTCAGCAAAAGGCTGAGGACCCATAATGTAATCTCAATGCTCTCTGAGGTCAAAGGAGGGCCTGGATTTTCCTGCCCCTTAGCTGGTCTTGGCAAAGATGTGAGAGTTTGGCTGAAAGCTCAGTGCTAGATCAAACTAGGGCTCAGAGGTCTAGGCTAAAATCCCTGTTCAGGCGAAACGTCACAATCCACAAACCCTGGTTAGGGACTGAAGGACAAGAAACGCCGAAAGACAAGGGGAAAACCGAGACGCAGAGAGAGGGAGGAACGTTAGAGCCAGAGAAAGAGGTTAGTGGCCCGAGGGACGACGCATTTGAGCAGCCTTAGGGGAACGCCATTCGGAGTGAAAGTGAGGCCCATCGAAAGAGGTTAACCAGAGAAATTTTCAGTTCCAGCACCGGGCTTTGACTACAGTTCAGTCCGTAGATGCCCCAGGCCCTTTGCCCCGCCTCTATCTGGTAATTAGACCGTACCAGTGTGCCTTTACAGGGGTGGAAGTATATCTTGGACTAGTCCTTCGAAGCTAGCGAAAAACTTTTAGCCAGAAAAAATACGGTATATATATTTATAATAGGTGTTATTAGTTAATATATTTCTCTTTTGTCTGCCAGGAACTCCAGTATACCTGGAAAATGGTACATGCCCAGGCCTGCTTCCCCCCTCCGCCTTCCGCATTTGGTACGTCCCCCCGCGGTACGTAGGCGGGGAGGCGTACATAAACTCCGACGCAGGAGGCGGGGCTGCTCAGTCCTCGAGGCGTCGGTGCTCTGTGTTGTTGGAATCTTCTTGCTTGTCGGCCTGTGCGCGCGTGCGCGGACATGGCCTCAAACGGTATGTAAGGGCGCGAGGCGGCAGTGGCACGTTGGTACGGGACTTCGTCCCCTCCCAGCTGGGCTTTTGATTTTTAGTGGGGCCGGGACGACGATCGCGTGTAGGATCTCGCACTACTGTGGCGGGGATGGGGGGGGGAGGGTGGAAAGGGAGACTAGTGTCGCCATTTTGTTTTGCTCTCCTGGCGCCTCGCACGGGGCGGGAAGTCTTCCCTCGCAGTCCAGTGACTTGAAATGAGGGTTGGAAGGATCGCTTCTTGGCGACTTGGAGTGTGAAGTAAGAGTGGAGATGCTTCGTCTCCATAGTCTTCCCCCACCCCCGTTCCCAGCCCGGCGCTCGGGCCCGCTTTGTCGCAGTGCTGCATCCGGGCACTTGGTGCGCGCACGCGCTCTGTTGGCCCCTCCCCTCTCCTCGCAGAGTATCCCCCTTCCCTGCCTCGTGTTGGTCGGTCTTTTTGTCCGAGACCCTCGGTAGAAGGCTATGCAGCGCGCGTCCGGTGTGAACCTCGCCCCAGTGGGTCCCTCGGGAAGGGGCGGGACCGCCCGGTTCCGGCCTCGGTTGCCACGCGGCCGGGGCGGAGGCTGGGATCGGGGCCGCGCGCCCGCTTAACGGTTTGGAGGAGGGAGGCGGCAGGGGGCTCTATCAACGGATTGGGGAACCCGGCCCGAGGGTTTTCCCGCCTAAATTTCTTTCTGAGGTGGGAATCGAAAGGAACGACTGCTTGGGGCCACACCCTTTCTGTGTCCTTTCACTCTTTACTACGTGGGAAACGCCTCGTTTCCTGTACTGAGGGGACGAGTCGATCTTGCTAACTGCGCCTTGAATGTGGAGCTTTAGCAGCGCGTCCACTGCCTGGGGTTCACCATGTCTCTTTCTCCCAGCTCCACGGGAGGCAGGGTAGATGAGGAAACGAAATTGTTTGTATCCACAGGGCTGGGGGCTTGAGGTACCAGTGACTGTCGCCTCCAAGATGAGCACTTTGAGCCTTGCTTGTCCTTCGGGTTTAGCGCTGTGACTTCGGCGAGTTACTCTATCTTAGCTCCCTGTTGACTATACCTTTGTTACAGAGCAGGTGTGGAAATGGAGGTGTTTTGAGTATTTCCTGATAGGAATGGAATTTGCATAAAATTGTAGTTGTCCCACCAAAACCGTGCCCCCCCCCATAGATAAGGCTTTTTAACGTCTCTAAAAAGTTGTGTTGTGTTGCCCTTTTTTTTTTTTTTTTTTTACTGTGGGAAAACTTGACTTAGGATCCTCCGGCTTGTTTCTCTTTAGTGCCTCAGAAGGAATTTATGCTCTTTTTTGCAACATAGCCTTATCGGTTGTCTTGGAAGTTCCAGTGCCTTAGTTAAGGAATTCATTGACTTTATTTATTTAACACTCTCAGTTGTCACTGAATGTAATGTAATTGTATAATAATTTTGTTTCTACAGATTATACCCAACAAGCAACCCAAAGGTGAGTGCTGTTTCTAGGTTCTCAGAATTTGCAGATGGCAGGGGTGGTGAAGGTAGCTCCTGATCGCGTGCATGGTTTTTCTTTTTTCTCCAGCTATGGGGCCTATCCCACCCAGCCTGGACAGGGCTACTCCCAGCAGAGCAGTCAGCCCTACGGACAGCAGAGTTACAGTGGTTACGGCCAGTCAGCAGATACTTCAGGCTATGGCCAGAGCAGCTATAGTTCTTCTTATGGACAGACCCAGAACAGTGAGTCTCTCAGTGGTTCACTTTGGCTCTTTGTGTGTTTCTGAATGTTGCTTTTCTAAACCTGAAAGGTGCTGAAGTATCGAAAGTGTCTAGTATTTATTTTCTCCTAACCAGCCTATTAACTCTTAAAACTCCTTGGAGTCTTAGTGCTTTCATTCAATTCATTGATTTGTAATTTTGTTTTAGTTTTCTTTGAGTTTTTTCTTTATATTTATGCTGGATCTTTTCCTAGTTCCCTTCTGATCATGAAAGAGGGCATGTTTTCTTTTTCTTTTTTTTTTTGGAGAGGTTTTTGCTATAGGGCGCAAAAGACAGAGAGACAGAAAGCGAGAAATCACCCCCCAGGGGGGATGGCCACTCTTCAATCCCTTCTCTGTTCTCCTCTCGGGATCTTGGGCACACACACACACGCGCCTGGTGTGAGTTTAAGCCACTGGGTCTGGGACTTGAACCACAGTCGACTATGTGGGAGTCATTACGCTAACTGCTGGTCCCAAAGAGGGCATATTTTCTAAGGGGAGAATTGGTCGTAGGCTTTTTGTGTGTGTGTGTAGAAAATGGTATGCTTAAAGATGTTTGAAGTCCGGCTGCTATATATCATGTGATACAGCAGGAGTTGGGATTTGTCCTAAGGTCCTAAAGTGTAAATAATGTGGGTTTCCCTGTGCGTACTGTATATATACCTGCACATGAAAATGCTGGGGCGTTTTTTGGTTGGTTTTTGACCATAGAGTGTTTGCTCTCTGGAGGGAGTAGGAGAATTTATCCTGCATTGGGGTATGACAGTAGAACCTTGGTCCCTTCCATTTGGGGGATTTGGGGCACACATGTCCAAGTCCAGCATGTTTCTTAAGCTACTGGGATCAGAACTCAAACTGATCAGCCATGTGGCTTCCTTAACCATTAGGCCATGGGCCAGCTCCTAAAATGCTGTCATATAAGTATAGATCTTTTGAGCTGCTTTCAGAAGGTGGTCCTGGAGATTGTTTGGGATAGGTGGAATGAAATTGGAACAGTCCTAGAGGGTTGGTAGAAGTGGGAGTATTAGGGTTTAAAAGAAGGGTACGTCTGAATTGTAGGATTTACCAGCACCTTTTATTTTATTCATTTATTTATTTATTTTGGAGAGGTTTTTGCTATAGAGGGCGCATGTGGTTGCCAGAAAGACAGAGACTAGAGAGTGAGAAAAAATCCCCCTTTGTGTGGCCACGTCGCAATCCCTTCTCCATTCTCCTCTCAGGATCTTGAGCACATAAGCACATACGTCTAGCTTGAGTTTAAGCCATGGGGTCCAAGACTCGAACTGCAGTCGACTACATGGGAGTCCAGTGATGTAGCCACTACGCCATCTGCTGGTCCTACTAGCACCTTTTAAGGGGCTGCTTTATTTTGAATGGATGAACATTTGGTACAATATAATTTTTTCCAACCTATTTCTTGCCCTTTCCCTATGTTCAGTTTTTGTGACTCCCTTCTCTTTTTCTTTAGCAGGCTACAGCACTCAGTCAGCTCCCCAGGGATATGGCTCAGCTGGTGGCTATGGCAGCAGCCAGAGTTCCCAGTCATCTTATGGGCAGCAGTCCTCCTACCCTGGCTATGGTCAGCAGCCAGCTCCCAGCAGCACCTCGGGAGGGTAAGGTGTTGGGTGCAGGGGTCCTGAAAGAAAGGGATGAATTGATAAGGAATGATAAAGTGACAAGCAACAGAAGTAGTTATGAAGTATAATTGGGGAGGGGTATAGAACATAGGATATATTGAAAGTGAAAGGCCGTTTTGGGTATGCTGGGATTGTGATTCTGTTCTGTTTTGTTTCCCTTAGTTATGGTAGCAGTTCTCAGAGCAGCAGTTACGGGCAGCCCCAGAGTGGGGGCTATGGCCAACAGTCTGGCTATGGTGGACAACAGCAAAGCTATGGGCAGCAGCAAAGCTCCTATAATCCCCCTCAGGGCTACGGACAGCAGAACCAGTACAATAGTAGCAGTGGAGGTGGCGGAGGGGGTGGCGGAGGTGAGAAAATGTCTTCAGCTTTATCGTATTTGTTCTTTGTAAGGGTTTATATTCTACTATTTGGCCTTTTCTTTTGTTTCCCAGCTGTTTATGTGTCTCTCTGGCACTGTTGAATGTTGTGTGATAAGTCGTTGTCTTTTAAAGCATCCTTTTTTTCCCTTGTAGGTAACTATGGCCAGGATCAGTCCTCCATGAGTGGTGGCGGTGGTGGTTACGGCAATCAGGACCAGAGTGGTGGTGGCGGTGGTGGCTACGGGGGAGGCCAGCAGGACCGTGGTGGCCGTGGCCGGGGCGGTGGTTACAACCGTAGCAGTGGTGGCTATGAACCCAGAGGTCGTGGAGGTGGCCGTGGAGGCAGAGGCGGCATGGGGTAGGTGTCTCGTGAACCAGGGAGTATTTTTGTTGGGAAGTGTGGAAGGTTGCATGAATCTCCCCTGAAGCCAGTCTCTAGTGCATGGTTAATATTCTTTAGGGAGTGTGTGAGGGCTTTGATTGGGGGCAGTGACTGTTTTCTCTGTACATCCCCATTTTACTATTGTGAGAATTTGGGACACTGAACTCCCATTTGTATCTCTGAGAATAGATGTGAGTATTGATACTTCTATTTTCAAAGAAAAAAATCCATAGACAGGTGTGGATTGGAGTCATTGATATCCCACCCTAGGCAGGAAACATGGAAGTAAAGACTTCTGTCTCTGCAAGGGAAACCGATGATCCCACTCCTGGGAAATAGTAGGAAATCTTGGTACGTGTATTCATGTGTCCTCTAAGGGAGTTGGTAATAGTTAACCTGACTTCAGCTTCCAGGAATTGGCTACTCTTCCTGTATTCTGTAGTCATTTGAGTCCACTTGCTTGATCTACTAATTTGACTGACAGTGATTTTGTGTGTGACTTGGTTTATGGAGTCATCCGAAGTGTGCAGACCTTTTGAACAAAATAAACTGGACAGTGGTATCTCACCTATTTGTTCCACTGTCTGCCTTCCCTTGGTTACGTAACATCTGCTTGTCCAACTGGACCTTCTTCTTTACTTCTGCTGTAGTTGATTGAGGTAAAACCTTAGATTTGATGTTAAGACAGTAGTCAAATCTGTTGGCAAATACAATTTGAAGGACCCTACATTATGGCTCCCTTGAAAGGGGGAGGAATGTCAGTGTTACTCCATTTTTGGAAAAAGTAAGCTTTTAAATGTGAGTTTGTACATGGTAAGTATTCAGAGGTGGGTGGGGGCAATCTCAAAAAACTTTAAAAATAAGGAAAACTCTGTTGTGTGCGTGTGTTTATTGCAAAACTTTAAAAAGAAAAACAACTGTTATGTGACTGTTAACTTGCTCTGCATTTTATGTGCCACAGGTATGAAAGGTGACATTGCAAAATACTCCGCTCTTCTCGCAGTGTAGAAGGGGTGACCCCGGGGGTGGGGAGAGATCAAAACCAGCTCAGTAGTTAGGATAGGGCTTAGCTAAGTTTGTCTTGCTTTAAGGGGAAACTGCCTTTGGTTTTGACTTTTTATGGAATGGGTTGGGTCTGCTTGCTGCTTTCAAAGCAAAAATCACAAAAATGTGTTCAGGGCTACCCCAGCCTGGTGTGAAATGTCTGGGTAAGTGGGGGTAGGGTTTTTAAACCAACTACTGGGTTGTCAGCCACTCACGACAAGAGGAAAAAAACACCTGCTACATCGGAAGAACAACCAAGGAAAACGGGTCATTTTTTTTTTCCAGAGGAAATAGTTATATAACCTTTCAGCAAAAGTCTTAAAAACTGTGTCTGAGAAATTGCACACGTGTGTGTGACATGCTCACAGGTCAGACAAGGGTTGGTCAGGAAGGGATGTATTTTAGTAGCCACTTGTCTTTTTCCCAAAACACCAACCCATGTTTGGGGAATGATAAACAAAATCAAAAACACCCTTTTGTAGCCGTTGGAAGCTTCATGTCCTTTCTTCTAACTTGTCTTCTCCAGCGGAAGTGACCGTGGTGGCTTCAATAAATTTGGTGGTAAGTGAACAGAGTTTCCAAAATTCCCAACTCCCAGCAATGCTTTGTCTGATTGTTCATTTGCAGATGTCTTAGCGTGTTAATTTAAGTGTAAAGGTTTTTGAAGTGTCCAGAACCACCTCCAGAAAGGGGTGGGGTAGAATGCCACCTTCTGCCAGATGTGTGCTTACCTGGAGACAGGCAGGGGTAAGACTAAGCAGTCGTCTGGTACCAAATTGGTTTGACCCAGGTTAATAAAAGAGGTGTTTGGTAGGCCTCTGACAGGGGTGTTGCCACACCTGGCACTTAGTGACCATTATCATGAGAAACTGGAGAGTGAGCTGGAACACAGGCCATCTTGGCTTTAGGATCTTTTTGATTGGTGTGTCCAAGGCTTTGTGTGTGTGTGTGTGCGTGTATGTATATATGCGTGTGTGTGTATGACACAACCTCCAAATGTTTTCATTTTGGGAGAGCGATGTGAAATACTGCTTCACCAGGGATGGTGAGGTTGGTACATGACTTATAAAGTATTGAATGGTGTCAATACAATTCCGTGTATATGCATTTAACTCAGATGGACTAATAGGAATTAGCTCTGGGAAGGAAGGTGTGGACTACTTCAAGAAAAGATTGGGAGCATGTGTGGCTCATGGGAAATAACCAGGTCTTAAACAGCACAAACTGAATTCATGGAAAAATGACAAATTTGAGAAGTCTCCCAGTAAGCTGGAACTTTTCTGGTTTGGTTAACAAAAGGTTTCTTGATTTGTCTCAACATTTAAAGCCAACGGCTTGGGTTCATGACTTAGGTGTCATTGCGTGCGGGTACAATATTTATATATGGCGAATTCAGATAAACGTTGGTTGAAGATGGTCTCTGGAAAAAAAAGAGGCTTCATTATGGAAATAAGATTTCTGGTCTGTTCCCTGGGACATGCTTTAAAAATATAATAGCTATTATGTATGTTTTTTATTTTCATGTGGTTTTGGGGAAACTTAACATGGTTCTAAGAATGGTTTCTCAAGATGAAACTAAAAATTGTTCTACAAGGGGTGTGTCGTTGGTGGTAAAGTTTGGATAAACTGGATGGATGCACATCATTGCTGGTGGTGAGCCCACATCTCTCTGGGTTGAGAGAACAGGGCCAAGCTATGAGTTGGTTTATTAACTTTAATGGGTTCCCCCTCCCTCCAATCGAGGACATTTCCCAGCCCTAGCTGGGAGAGGCAGCTTTTCCTGAAGTGTGGATTTGTCCCTGTTGGGACTCAGTTACAGATCTTAAAGGGCCTGTGTCGTCCTCAGCCCTGCCTAGGATTTTCTCCTCTGGGCAGACAACCCAGGGCAGGGTTTGGAGTGAGGCTGTGAGCACTTACCCCGATATTTTATAAGATTTTGGATTTGGTATTAATTTATTTCCTTGTCTGTCCATTCCTGTTGACTAACGGCTCCTCTTTTCCTTGTTTTTGTTTTTGTTTTTTTTTGTTTTTCTTTTTTATGTCACTTAAGGCCCTCGGGAGAAGGGATCACGTCATGACTCTGGTAAGTTCACAGGTGGCATGAAAGATTTACCGTATATTCTTTGAAACTTAAAAAAAAGAAAAAAAAAAGCAGTGGTAGGTAGGACCAGCTGGAGGTAAGGTGATTGAGGTAGGCTAGAGTGTGAGGTTCAGATCTTCGGCTTGGCAGCTTGAAAAACATGCTGGGCGTATGGACATGCATGCCCAAGATCCTAGGAGGGTAATGAAGGAAGGGATAGTGGAGTGGCTATCCTCCCACTGTGGGGAGAGAGAGGGGAGGATTTCTCTTCCCCCCCTTCCCCTCCTGTCTTGTCTTTCTGTGGCGAGTGCATAAAGTCTATGGGAAAATAGAAAAAAAGCAGTAGAGAAGGGAGTAAGGAAGTTTAGATATACCTGTGGCTAGCACTGGTTCGTAAGTGAGTATTTGATAATCCACCAGTTAAGGTATTTGGCTCTGGGAAGAATCTGAGAATTTGTGTTTCTAATAACTCCCAGCTGATGCTGTTGTATCTGTGGACTTCACTCTTTTGGCTTAAAGCAGCGGTTTTTAAAAATGTGGATCATGGGGCCAGCAGGTGGCATGGTGGTTAAGGCATCAGATTCCTACATGGCCATCTGAGGTTTAGTCCCAGACCTGGTGGCTTCAAAATCACACTGGATTGTGTGCATGTGCATGCCCAAAATCCCAGGAGAAGAATGGAGAGGGGCTTTTTCACTTTCTGTCTCTCTATCTCTGTCTCTGGTGAGTGCATGGGCCCTATGGCAAAACCGAAAAGGGAAAACTTGTCCAAATGGGTGAGCAAAATGAACAAAAGACCCGATTATATCACATCGTATTAAAGTTTGTGTTACTAGATATTTTTTTTCTGTTAAAGTTTTTGCCATTGGTTGTGTGCGTGCACTAGCCAAAGGCAGAACCAGACAGAGAGAGAGGGAAAGTGAGAGAAATCACCCCCTGGGTGGGCGGTGGCCACATAGCAATCCCTTCTCCATTCTTCTCTGGGTATTTTAGGTATTCACTCTTGCACATGTATGTGTCTGGTGTTTCAAGCTGCTGGGTCTGGTACTTGAATGGCATTCAGCCATGTGGAAGTGTCCAGCAGTTTAACCACCACCCATGCTGGCCCTATGTGCACTAGATTTCAGTGTGAAAGGTTTCTTACAGTATGTGATCTTCAATTGGAAGTTGATAAACTATTGTACTTTGTTGTGGTTTTTGGGCAGGTAATTCCTGAGTCCTGGTTTACTATACTGAATGTTAAAGGTCTCAAAGGATGATTGTAAAACTAAACAGAAAATTTATAAGCTTGTCTTGCATATAGTCTATCAGATTTTAAACCAGAAGGGCTGTAGATTAAAGTGATCTGACCTAAACAATAGTTATATTGGTTGAGTGTTACTGAGTTTTTCCCCTCAAAAGCTTAAAATTGAGTGTTTTTTTTTTTAAGAATTATTTAAGTTTTATTTATATATTTTTAAAAATAATTATTTAATTTTATTTATTTTAATTTGACCAGAGAGGGACAGAGTGAGAATGAGAGAGAGACAAAGTGAGAAGGCAAGCCACCAGGTCCAGAACTCGAACTGCAGTCTGCCATGTGGGAATCCCGTGCCCCCAACCACCACTCTGCTTGCTGGCCCCAATATATTCACGTTTTTTTAATTTGACCACAATCGGATGGGGAGGGGAGGGAGGGGGGGAGAGAGAGAGCGCGCGCACGAGAGTGAGCCGCCAGGCCCAGGACTTGAACCACAGTTGGTCATGTGGATGTCTAGTGCCCTTAATCACCATGCTACCTGCCAGTACCCGTGCCCCCAACCACCACTCTGCTTGCTGGCCCCAATATATTCACGTTTTTTTAATTTGACCACAATCGGATGGGGAGGGGAGGGAGGGGGGGAGAGAGAGAGCGCGCGCACGAGAGTGAGCCGCCAGGCCCAGGACTTGAACCACAGTTGGTCATGTGGATGTCTAGTGCCCTTAATCACCATGCTACCTGCCAGTACCTCGAGTGTTTATTAAAGTTAGATTGAATCCTCCCCCCTTTTTTGAATCTTCATTTTGTTTTTGCTCTCAAATTCACCGCTTCTCTTTTGTTCAACAGAGCAGGATAATTCCGACAACAACACCATCTTCGTGCAAGGCCTGGGCGAGAATGTTACAATTGAGTCTGTGGCTGATTACTTCAAGCAGATTGGTATTATTAAGGTACTTATGGATCAAAAAGGTGCTTTCTATCAGATTTGTAGGTTTTTGCCTTTCACAAATCAGTAAAAAGTCTTAGTGGTTGTTAGTGATCTTTAATTTAGTGAGGAAAGTCATTAGGAGTTAACTGTTTTATTTTTATTTTTTTTCGGAAGTTATTTCTAATAAAGAGTTTGAGAACGAGAGAAAAAGACATTCGAACAGATTCCTTACGCCATGATCCACCCCTAGTCTCAACCAGTATGGATCATGGATGGCATTCAGGTCCACTCTTGACTTGTATAGGGTAGCCCTGGGATGTGACTGTGGGTTCAATTGCTTTAACAAAAAGTACAGTTGATATAGGCAATGCCTTATGGCCCAACTGTGATAGCACAGGTCGTAAGTTGATAACATGTGACATTGGAATCACATGGGAGGCCCAGGTTCAGATCCTTGGTCAACCTACATATCATGAGTCCTTGTGATCCTGGCTGACTTAGGGGGGCTGGTGGGGCAGGTGGACATTGTGGTGGGAGACCTTGTCAAGGATAACTCGTTCCTTTATTCTGAAGAAATAAACATTAAGGGCTGGGTCTCTGGCTTAGTGATTGGGGGCAGCAGATCTCACATGGCTGACCATAGTTCATATCCAGCCCTGGTGACTTAGAAAAACACACTGGCATGCGCGAGTGTCCAAAGTCCCGGTGGGATGGGGAAATGAAGGAGACGAGATTGTGGTGTGACTTCCCCATTGTGGGGACCCTCTACCCCCGATCTCTGGCGAGTGCACATCCCCGCTATCTTGTTACACTTTTAATATTGAAGGGAGACAAAATTGATTATGGCTTTAATTTGGGTCAGTGTGAGTTAGGAAGTAGTAGCTGGGAAAAAAAGCTGAAATTTGGGAGTTATAAATTTATTTTACTTGTAAACATTTCACTTATTTATTGTAATTTGACCAGATTGGGGTGAGAGAGAAAGTGAGCAAGCCAGCCGCCAGGACCGCAGCCGGCCATGTGGGAGTCCAGTGCCCTTAACCACCATGCCACCTGCTGCCGTGTACTGTATCTTCTTAGACTGATGTTTATTTCATTTCACTCTCTTAAGACAAATAAGAAAACAGGACAGCCCATGATTAATTTGTACACAGACCGGGAAACTGGCAAACTGAAGGGAGAGGCAACAGTTTCATTTGATGACCCACCTTCTGCTAAAGCAGCTATTGACTGGTTTGATGGTATGTATGAGAAATCCTGGTGGAGGTGGGAGAAGGGCAGCTAGCCTTAGGAAACAGGCTGTATTTTGAGTGTTTGATTTTTTTTTTTTCCCAACACTTAATTTATCTGCAGTTTTGGTAGGCCTCTCCCCCCCCCC